GACTAATACATAGCAAAGAGAAGGGAAAGAGGATTCCTGGCTAAGCAAAGAGTATGTGTGAAAGTCTGAAGGCAAGAGGGAGCCGAGCGCCCTGGAAGACCTAAATGGAGGTTGGTGGCAACCGCATGGGAAGCGGGACATGGATAAAAGATGAAGCTAGGTTGGGGAAGCAGCAGCTGGATTAAGCAGTCCTATGAGGGCTGCATTCCAGACTTTATCCTTTAGCTTAAAGGCAATGGGAAGCCATAGATGAGTTCTCTCTGGAGAGCTCTGACTAATACAGGCTGCATTTCTGCCATCACATCAGGGTAACATGGATAGAGCTGGATGAAAAGATAGAACCAAGAGAGCAGCCAGCCACTGTGACCATCTCTACCAGACTCTCAGCTGTGACTCCTCTCCTGTCAGCTTTGTGGCATTGGCTGGAGGCTTGCTTTTCCTCTTTGGCTCCAGGTTGTACTCTCTCAGCAGACTAGAGAATTAGAGAAGGTCCTGGAGTTTGTTTCTAGGACCCTTGCCCTCTGGACCACAGAGCTCAGGACCCTCTAGTTCCTCTCAGTTTCCAGAGAGCCTATCTGATGAGCTCTGTTTCCCCACTCTGGGCTCCATCCCCTGAATATCTAAGACTTCATGCCCCCCTTCCATGTGCAATTTTCTCTTGGGACTTCCAGACCTACCAGGGTCTCAGAGAATGTTCAAATCTAGAGGTGAAAGTTCTCTTCCCAGCTCTTTTAGTCACTTGCTGGCTAAGTCCTTCTCTTCTCTAGGATTTATCTATAAACTGAAGGACTTATTGCTGAGGTCCCCAGAACTGAGCTCTATAGTTCTGATGGCAGGAAACTGATAAATTGACCATAGGTGAAAGATCTGGGGGGGTGGGGATGGGGACATTTTCCTGTGTGCTACTTGGAGACAACACATTTGAGGGAAGGGTCTCAGATTCTGAAAAAAGCATCAGGGGCTTCATGGCAGAGAGAGTTGCCTTCATTCCTCAATGCTATTCTTGGCAACTCTAGGCAACAATCCCACCCCATTGCCAAACCGGAACTTCCCTGATTCTGGGACCTGTGGGCTGCTAGGTATTTGCTGAGCTGGCAGCAGTGGATCAGCCAGGAGCCAGGACTCTGAGCTCTACCCCCACTTCTGCCCAGAACCCTCTGGGTCGTCTCAGCATGAGAAAGTGGTTCTCAGTCTGGGGTCCTAAAGCTGGGAATAGAATCTTCAAGAAATTTCTATTCAAAAAGAAAAATAGAAATGGCACTACTTTCTTTCTTTTTTTTTAAAGTACCAGAGTTGCCATGGCTTGGGAGTCATGTTTTTTTTTTGTTTCGTTTGTTTTTATATTTTATATTATTTTTTAAAATTTTTAATTGGGGGATTTGGGGGAGGGGAACAGTGTTGGGGAATTGGGGAAGGGGAACAGACAAGTTGGCTGTCCTTTTGTTCTTCAGTCTAGTTGTGGAGAACGTCGCTTCACTGGCCCATGTTGGTATTATCATTGCACTCTTCCCGGGTGAAGTAGATTGGTCACCGGTCACCGGATGGCCGCTCACCATGGCTCTTGGCAGCTCACGCAAGCTGCCGGCCTCTCACAGTAGCTTACAGCAGCCCACTGCAGCTTTGCTGCAGCCTACACCATGGCCGGTGACTCATGGCAGCCCAGCTCCAGGTCGAGCTGTTGTTCACCATCTTAGCTGTAGAGGGCGCAGCATCACTGGTCCTAATGTGGGATCCGAACTGGAGTCCTGCTGCTTAGAGCTGGTGTCCCAAGCCAAATCTTAGCTAATACGCCACTTGGCTGGCCCAGCATTACTTTCTTTATACCTCCTTTTAATATTCCAGTGAGATGGCTGGATTCCCGCTCCCCCCCTCTCCCCGCCCATTCTCCACCCCCCCACACCCACACACACTCCCCACCCCACCCCGGTCTGAGAATGCCCTTTGCTCCTCCCTGAGTTTTCTGCTAATGTGATAATTTTAGAATATCTCCATGAGCTTGCTGGGTCAAAATCCACTTCTGGTTGTGATTAAATCAGATGGGTACCCCTGGAGCCAGATGGACACCATAACTACCACCAGAAGTTCAAGAAACCACCTCCTCACTTCCACTGCTAGCCCCACTACTCCAAGTATATCAGGTTAATCCCACTTGTCCCGTCCCAGGTTATTCCATTCAGTTTGTCACAGGTTAGATCCCTAAATATATTTCAGCCCAACTTAATGAAGCCTTTCCCATTTACCTGGGTTTTCCCCCGTATACAACTCAGGAATCCTTTAGTTTCAAGTAATAAAAAAAGAAAAAAACACAAATGAAATTTAAACAATAAAGTGGATTCATTGGCTCACATAATGAAAAGGTCCAAATGTACTACTAGCTCCCGGTGAAGCTTGATTCAGGAGTTCAAACAATATGACTGGTATTCAGTTTCTCTCTGTTCAGTTCAGTTCCTTCGGCATTGCCGTACCTCCCCATGTTGCTTACTCCTGAGAGCACATGCCTCCAGGTCTAAATCCAATATCAGAGTCTGTTTACAAAGAGCTTAAATTGAAGACCAAAACCAAGTTTCATTAGCCGTAATTGACTGACTTAGGTTGTGTGCCTATCCTTGAAAGAGTCCATCTCTGTGGGCAAGGTGAATGCAGACTGTCTTAGAGAAATATGGGCCCATGATGGAGTTGAGGGTGAGGTCAATCCCACTGCACCCCCAAACCAATAAATTCATGGTACTGGTTACAAGGCAGAAGCTGAGAATGGATGCTAGGTGTGATTCAACCAACTATTTCAACCGCTAAACCCACTTACCACCTTCTAGGCTAGCCCTATTCACTTCCCAGGTGAGTCCTAAATGGCCCTTGCCAGGAACCATGGTTCCTTCATCATGTGGGAGCTTCCTCAGGCTCGCCCCAAGCACTCTATTACACCATCAGACTGAGACCACACTGATACACGAATTCACCATAAACTATGGATGTCTGCTGGTCGCTCCTGATGCTCCCTTACTCTCTGACCTGAATGACTTGCATTTAAAAGGGGGCACTCAATGTCTTAATCTAATGAAATGAAGTACAAATGCAAAATTTCAGGAGCTCTCTTGGGTTTCCTTTTATTGTGCTGCCGTCTTGCCTTCTCTATCTATGGGTAGGACTGGATAGGGTGTCTCTCCAGTGAGGAGATGGATGCTATGTTGGCATTTTACCATTCTCTGAGTCAATACCTGTGATCTAAGTCCTAAGATCAGATTCCATGTCCACGTGGTTGCTGGTTTCCCCCCTGCCGCCTGCATGCCAGGCCTAGCCTTTGCTCTTCTCAGCTCTGCTGAGAAATTGACTTCTGCATGCTGACTCCCTGCGCCTCTTTTACCATCTCACTTCTGGTTAGATTTGGTTGATAGGAGATACCAAAGGAGATTGGAGTGTGGGAGAGAAAAGAGGCCGGTACATTCCTTCTCTCCTCTTTCCCTGCTCTGGCATCATTTCTTTGGCAATAGCTGCCTCTGCCAGGGTCCAGGAATGCTATTTCTTCCCCTTCTTCTTTCAGCCTAGGGATGCTGATGGTTTTCCCACTGTTGCTAGTCTCTAGAAGCTACCTCATAACTTGTTTGATTCCTTAACTCTGCCTACCCCTATGAAAGGAGTCCTGTATCCAAATGTTTTCATCTCAAACATCTGCAGTGAATTCTGTTTCCTGTGAGGCCCTGACAGGGGAGAAACAGCAGACTCTCTACAGGCAAGGCTGGGGCCTGGGCCAAGAAGCTTGTTCTTCAACAGAACCCTGGGCTGAGGAAATGAAAGCTGCAACTACCTTACTGTTAGGCTTCGGACAATTAACTGCCCCTCTCTGGACCCAAGTGGCTTGCTCTATCAATCTAAAGGAATTGAATTTGATGATCTCTCCTCATCACTCTGAAAGTAATGTTCCATGTTCCTTAGTGTCAAGTTTGTACTATGGTCTTGGGGGTGGAGTTGTTTTTTTTGGGACCCAGGATTTCCTTTCTGGGGCTAGAACCTTGTCCCTGAAAGTGCCTCACAAGAAAGGATTCAAAGCATCATGAGCCTGGCATAAATGCAGGCCCTTCCAGTGGCCCATATTAAAAGAGTCAGTGGACAACACAGGCAAGCTGAGCCTCAGTTTCATTATCTGGAAAATGGGTATAAAGAGTGAGTACCGGGCCGGTCGAGTGGCGCGATGGTTAAGAACTGGCTTGGGACGCCAGAGGGCCCCGGTTCGGATCCCACATATGAGGACCAGTGACACTGCCCTCTACAGCTGAGATGCTGAACAACAGCTCGACCTGGAGCTGGGCTGCTGTGAGTCGCCAGCGACGGCGTAGGCTGCAGCCCCTGCTGCAGTGGGTTGCCATGGGCTACCGTATGTAGCCAGCAGCCAGCGTGAGCGGCCAGCAGCCGCCATGAGCGGCCATCCAGAAGCCGGCGACTGATCTGCCTCCCCAGGAAGAGCGCAATGATGGTGCCAACTTGGGCCAGTGAAGCAACGTCCTCCACAACTAAACTGAAGAACAAACAACAGCAACTTGTCTGTTCCCCTTCCCCTAATTCCCCAGCGCTGTTCCCATCCCCCAATTCCCCAATAAAAAAAAATCATTAAAAAAAAAAGGAAGGACTATCTTAAAAAAAAAAAAAAAAGAGTGAGTACCGATGCACTCCTTGTTTGGTTTAAATGACATAGTGTGTAGAAAGTGCCTGAAACATCCTAGGAGCTTATATGAAAAGGCAATCCTCATGCTAACGGTTATAGCAAGAATTGCCTGCTGTTTACTGCTCCAGGGCATCAAGGCAGGATACTGATTGCCTGGCTTCTTTGAGGCTCACCGCATGGTTTCTCTCTAGCTGAGTTTTGGAACTAGTCAGCCAGGCTGTCTCTTCTGTTATCTGTGACTTTTGTGGCTGTTGTCTTTGACCTATGAAGCTCAACCCACTCTGGGCTGCTGCTGGCTGCAGGGCTTGGCTGGGGGAGGGACATGGCAGGGTGCCTGGATCCACAGCATAAAGCAAACTAGAGGCAACAGGAGGTAGGAGCATATCTCTCCAGCCATGGCGTCTGTCTTGTTTTCCCTGAGCCTCTCCCGCCTGGGCCTGTGGGCTTCTGGACTGATCTTGGTTTTAGGCTTTCTCAAGTTTGCTTTTCTGCTGGTGCGGAGGCAGTCACTGGCCAGGGCTATGGACAACTTCCCAAGGCCACCTGCCTATCGGCTCTTCGGGCATGCCCTAGAGGTACGTGGTGGGTAAAAGGAGGAAGGGGTGGAGAAAGAAAACAACCTTTTTTTCTTCAGAGAATCCAGCCCAATCCCTAGGAAGCCATGGAGGGACACCCTACTTGGGCAGGAAGGTGATATCCTGAGAGCCATGGTTCTCATTCAGCTTTCCCATCAGTTGTCCCCCTCACTCCTGCCTTCTGAGCTGGCCTGTGCGGGGGCACTTTAAATTTGGAGCCCAAGTAGACCACAGACTCCTTCCCATCATTCTGAGGTCCAAGGTTCAGACAAAGCTCTGCTATGGGCTTGGCAATAGTATTGGGGGGAAAAAAACCCATGGACAATCTGATAAAATTAGGCAATCTCATTTAAAGCTTAACCAGCATCCTCTTTGTACTGTGCAGTGTAACGATTTCAATTTTTAAGGCAGAAAATTAAAGTGAAGGCAGAGATGGGTGCTGTCACCTGAGAGACCTCTTAGGGCATCTATGCGGTTGGTGCTCCCAAAAGTGGGGTTCTCCCAGCCGTACTTATGGGCTGGCTCAGGAGCTGTGGCATTTTCCTGGGTTCAGATCCTGACTTGCCCTCCTCCTTAGGGTGGGGGGAGACCACTTTAGCACCCATTGTCAAGAGCCTCTCTTAGGTCCCTTCCTTCATGGGGATCTAGGCCAGAGGTTTCTTTTTTTTCTTTCTTTTTTTTTTTTTAAGATTTTTTATTATTTTTTTATTTTTTATTGGGGAATTGGGGGGATGGGAACAGCGCTGGGGAGTTGGGGGAAGGGGAATAGACAAGTTGCTGTCCTTTTGTTCTTCAGTCTAGTTGTGGAGGACGTTGCTTCACTGGCCCAAGTTGGCACCATCATTGCGCTCTTCCCAGGCGAGGCACATCAGTCGCCGGCTTCTGGACGGCCGCTCACTGCGGCTGCTGGCTGTTCATGCTGGCTGCTGGCTACACACGGTAGCCCATGGCAACCCACTGCCACAGGGGCTGCAGCCTATGCCATCGCCGGCGACTCACAGCAGCCCAGCTCCAGGTTGAGCTGTTGTTCAGCATCTTAGCTGTGGAGGGCAGTGTCACTGGCCCTCATATGTGGGATCCGAACCGGGGCCCTCTGGCATCCCAAGCCAGCTCTTAATCACCGCACCACTTGGCCGGCCCTAGGGGTTTCTTAATACAGAGCAAGGAACACCTGCATTGGAATCAACTGGGAGAAGTAGGCTCCTTGGCTTCCAGCCCCTTGATATCCTAATTAACATATTGAAACTAAGAATCTGGATTAAAAAACCTCCCCTAGTGTTTTGCTCTTGGGGAGGTTTGGGAGCCCAGGTATAGATGCCAGAGATTAAGGGGAGGGTAGAGGCATAGTCACTTCTTCTATTCTCAGTCTGGGGAATTGTCTTCAGGTGAAAGTTGCCCATGCTTATTCTTGCCCCTACAAATAACTACCCTCTCAGGATGGCCTAGTAATGTACACGCATCCTGGAGACACACAGGAAAAGAAAGAATGCATTGGGGAGATGAATTAAACCCAGGCCCTGCTGTCAAGAAACTTACTACCTAGAGGGGAAAAGAGACACCAGAGCCTTCCATGCCCCAGGTCCGGGCGGGTGCCTAACCAGGAGGAGTTTGCATCAACCCCACGCTCTGTATCTCAGTACTTGTCTCATTGGGTTGTTATCTTCTGTTTACTTGTTCATCTTCCCCACTGGACCGTGACCTCTAAAGGATAGACATCAGGTCTGATTCATTCCTGTACCCTCAGGGTCCAGCACAAAGTCTGCCATAGAGTCGGGCATCACTGAATGAACAGTGAATGTTGGAGAGTAGGAGGAAGTGGTATCAATAGAGGAGAGAGAGTGATAGAGAAGACAAGAAGAGAGACCAAGAGGGGTTTGGGAGAGGCTTTGCAAGTACGGAAGGAGGTCATGGGAAGGTTGAGGTCTGACCCTAATGGTGGCATGAGAGACATTTGGGAAACCTTTTCTCTTGCACCCCCTCCACTTCCTTTTGCCTCCATCAGAGAATCAAAACTGGGTTTTCCCTTAGCCCATGGGCTTCTCTAGGACAGGGACATTGCTCCCCTATCCCCATGTCAGAGCTAGCTGTCTTTTCCCTCCAACACCACCCTACCCCCTACCCCCACCCCCACAACTCACTTTGAGAGTAGATAGAGGGCCTGGAACATGGCTTAACTCTGGCTTCTTGGCTCTAACACAAGTATGTGAAAGATTTGGACACCAGGAAGGGTGAGGGAGAAATGGTTGCTCTCTAGCACTACAAAGGTTTCCTGGGGAACCATGGGAGGCCCAACTCCTTTGCATTCCCTAGGGCTTGTCAGCTCTACTGTGCTGATATTCACAGCTGAACTGAGAAATTGGGAGAGCAGGGTAGGGATTATTTTTCCTAGAGTATCATAAAAAGACAAGAAAATTGAGGTTCAGAAAGGGCAAGGAATTTACCTATGTCCATGTAGTAGCTCAAGAATTGAGTTATGGCTGGGCCTAGGACTCCTGCCTTTTCATTCAGCACATGATTAGTGTTTTGCCATTGGCTGTTCGCAAAAGGTGAAAGAATTCACAGCCTCAGAAGGAATAGAAGTTATAAAATTTATTCAAGAAGAAAGGTGCTGGCAGAGAGGTAGACAACTGCACCTAACTTCAGGTTATCTTTTTCTTATATAGGCAAGGGTAGGTAAATTTCCTTACTGCAGGACATGTGCCATATAGACTGAGGTCATTTGATTGACATATGTTGGTTACATAACTAATTTCTTTCTGTGCATGCTCTTACCCAAGATGCATACAGAAAAACCCATCGGGGTGTGGGGGCAAGTCTTAGTGTCCATTTTATTTGAATTGTATTATAGTTCAAATAACAGACAGGTTTCAGCAGTTTGCACATGTGTCAGGAACCAGCTTACTCCAGTTAGGGTCTTATCTCCCCTTTTTAGGGGTGTTTGGACAGGTTGATTGATCTCTAGGAGATGAGGCTGGGCTGTTCCTGGAGAGGGGATGCAGGCCTGGGAAGTCCCCTTTTGGGCTCACTTTTATTAACTATTTTTTGCCTCATCAATCAGGTCATAAAAAGTGACTGCAAATTTGATTCTTAGGCCTAGTGATGGTGGGAGTAGGAAAGGAAGGAAGGAGGGCTGGTGGTGGAAGGACCAGGGACCGGAAAGAGCTGTCCATCAGGATTAATTTTTCCCTTCTTGGCCTTCAGTTACTGTCTGGAGGTCTGGAAGCTTCTACCTGTCATTCTCCTCAACTCTCAGAATGTGTCCCCTTGAGGAGGGGTCATATCCTATTCTTTTAGGGTCCTGCCCATTCCACTCTGGGGCCCAGGGAGGGTTTTGCACATAGTGGGTACTCAGCCATATTGTTGGCCTAAGGTTGGGGCACCTGGGAGGGACCCACAAATCTAACCTGTATGTTGGGGTGGGGGCAGGGAATGCCAGCTCCCAGCCCAGGAAAGGTAATCCCCTGAGACTGCAGGGTTCTATTCCCTGGCCCTTCTCATTACTGGGACAGTTCCCTTGACCTTGTGCCATGCAGTGAATAGCCCTGGTCTGGAGCTCTGGCCCATTTTCATTCAGCAGATATTGATCACGGGCCTTCATTGTGCTTCTTCTCTGTGCTTCCCTTTCATTGTCAATAACAGCGACACAAGCATCCTTACCTTGCTGGGTTAGAAGAGGCTCAAAAGACTTAAACTATAGGTACTTTGCAAACTGCTGGGCAGGTGTTAACCCATGTAGAGAGATTCTTGTTGCAAAACACACTGAGGCGTTTGCTTCCTTTTCCCTCTTCCAAGTCAACTCAGTCTTTGGGAGCCAGATAAGATTCCTCTTTCCCAGCAACTAGCTTTTGTTTTGATCAACAAATGCAGATGGCAAGGAGCCAGTAGAGGGTGGGGTTTGTGATTTGGGAGAAGCCTGTTTAATGGGTGAGGCACCTGGGGGGAGGGTGGGAAGCCAAAGGGATTAATCTTGGGCAAGCCCTGCGGGCCTCCTCTATTGGAACGGAAGGGAAGGTGGGGAGGCTGGGTGCAGGGCAGGTGATTCCTCAGGTATGGTGGCTGACTTTTAGAGATTTCCTATGTGAGGACTTCTATTTTCTCTGTGAAGAGGAGCAGAGCTAATTTGCTGGGAGCAAGGAACAAAAGGGCAGAGGGGACAGTTGAAGAAAAATAAGTTTTTGAGGAGCAGACTGTGGCCAATGCTATGGGGCTCTTTAGAGGTGTTTCTGCAGATCTCTGCTCACATGTCACCTCTGAGAGGGCTTCCCTGAACCACCCAAACCCCATCTGCAGTAGCAGTCCTGACTCTCATCCTGCTTTGTTCTTTTCCTAGAGTTATCACTACCTGGAATTATATTACTGATGTATTTGATTCTTATTTCCTTTCTCCCCACTTGGAGTGTAAGCTTGGGCATGGCTTTGTCTTGTTCACACTGTGTTCCCAGGAACTAGCACCCTGCCTGGCATTGAGAGTGGGTGTTCTATGCCCATTGTGGACTGTGTGAGTGAATCTCTGAAAGACCCAACTTGGGGCAGTGAATCCACTCACATGGGTGAGTATTGTTGACTGGTGAAAATAACTCTCCAAAAATGACTCAAAACAAAAGAGTTTATTTGGAGGAAGGAAGAAAAAGAAACTACCGCAGCAGTGCTAGAAACTGCACTTGCTCTGATACCCGGGCTCCTACCGGCCGCCCACGCACAATTCTGACACCGTGCTCCAATCTGCCGCATACGTGGAGAAAAGATGGCTCTTTCCATTTATATCATCCCTTACCACCCCCCCCCACCCCCAAGATATCACAAAGTTAAACATGGAGTCAGGGTAACAGAGTTAACAAGGGGCCCAGCTGCACCCACAGTCCTCCCAACTCTATAGTCAAGCATCACAAAATGCCAATTCATTTTTATCAGTACCAATGTCTGCAACCTCTGGACTGTTGGGCACTTCTTGGACCCTTGCCCTCCTGTCTTCTTAGATGTTTGTTTGGTCATTCCTGGAG